GGTGTGATGATGGTGGTGGCGGTAGGGGAGAGAAGGAAGGGGGTGTGATCTCGTGGGAGTTTTAACTGGAAATAGTTGAGGATCGCTGGAACAGTGAGATGAGAATCGTGAGGGAGAAGAGTTGATCGTCGGATAATTGGAATTGAAATTTTTCGAAGAATCCAAGGAATAAGTTTTATCATAAAGTTGATGACGTGAGGAAGAGGTGGAGTCGGGGTGTTCCAACAAAGGCGGCAGGGTTGTCCTACGTTGCGGCTTGTAGGGAGGGTGAGAACGCAATGGTCGGGAATAAGTAATGGACTGATCGAAAGACCGGGAGTCGTCGGACGAAAATCCCTGATAGAAATGAGAGGTTGACGTGACGTCATGCGAATCCGAACGAACCGACATTCGATCATCATCGTGGCACGAGTAGGTACTCTCGTAATCCCGCGATCTTCGATGCAGAAGTGGACTGGAGGAAGATGAAAGTTCGTATGGATTGTTCTCAATAGATGGTGGTAGTGGTGGGGGACGGTAAAATGAATTCGCACCGCCGTTTCCATCATTTGTGAGAAGTGGCGGTGATGATTGTTGATAGTAGGGGGAACCCATGGACCGCAGATCGACAGGAGGGGTCGAAGAACACCTGCTCCTCTTTCTCCTCGAAACTTCGCTCATATCAACATCATCGTCATTCACATTATCTTCACCGTCGGCGACGTCGGAATGTCTGCTGGATGTTGGTCGCTTCCTATACAGTATATTAAAGATTATGGTCAGAGGGGATAACCGTTCAAAATTACGAGATCGCACCGTCGTCATTGGAATGGAGGAAAGACGAATTACATCTGAATCCGGTGTTCCTTGCGTATTCTTATGCGCACGCCTTGATCCGAGAAGGACCTCGATAGAAATGTTGACTCGGACATTCCTGGAAATGTCTTTGGAGGGTAGACGGTGAACACGTCGGACATCAAAGATTGTATGTGGACGACCTCGTCACTGCCAAAGAATCGTTTTTTTTTTTTTTTTTAAACATTCATCCCCGAATGATCATCGATTAACGCAAATGCGCCATGTCTCACTATCCCTTACCCTATGATCTCGAAAAGACTGAATCGCAGGCGGTATCGACCTTCAACGCGAACAGATATGTCACCGAACACAAAGAATCCACCATCTGAAGGATTACATCGAGTTAACACCGGAAAAGAACGTGAAGCCACGCGATTTAAAAGTGAGTCAATGATTACCGGTGTTGTCAATGTCTTTTAACTTGTGAAGAGAGGACACCACAGTGCCGGCAAGACACCGGGAGGAAATGGCGAGATCGCTATTCCCGGCGTGACGCACAAGATTGGCACACATAAAGTAATAAGGACTCTGGAGGAAATTCCTGGTTGAGAAAAAAAAATTTTTTTTTTTTTTCTTAGTTTGGATCGGTCAAAAAACATTTTGTCGTTCGACAGAAGTAACATACTGCGCTTCGTCACCGCAACCCTCGACTTTGAGTTGTATAATCGGTGGAGGATCAACGGGCCTTCGGTCTGACAAAGATTGAGATTAACGATATGGAATAATTAAATGCAATTGCAATGGTCACCGCGTAGAACGCGAGAATCAACAAACCTCGCTCTTTCGAGCTACACAACCTAGCTATTTTTGGCTGCTGGCGTATAATGAGTTGATAGTGGTCGCTGGGTAGGGTGATGGGCAGGGGGAGGGAACGCGTTTCGTCAGGAAAAAGTCGTGTGCAAACGATTTTCACGGAACTAGGCCTAATTACCTGTCAAGCGGTCTCCGTCGGTTAGGCGTACTCACAAAATTGTACGTGTTTAATACGTTCCTTGACATTGTCGGTTGAATGCAAAAATTGGCTGCGCGTTTAGTGTTCTCCTGAGAGGTGGTTCACAGTAAATTTTTTAATTGTTCAGCGTGATTTGAAATTTGCGTACGCCACGCCACGTTGGCGGTATAATTATTTTCGTGAGACTTCGAGAAAGCGAATTACAAAGGTGAGAGAGAGGTCGGCAATGGCCGTGAGTAATATTAATGAAGTTGAAACGAGGCAACGAGAAGGTGACCAGAGAAGAGGGAAGGAACGGCTTATGTGCGCTTATATATAGTTATATAGTGTGTAATGTAAACTCAGGTGTGAACAGTATTCAGTAGGAGGTAGAGTGTGTGTGAACTGCACATCAAAAAAAAAAAAAAAAAAAAAAAGAATTTTTCCTAAATTTCCTAAAAAAAAAAAAAAAAAAGAAAAAAAAAAAAACGGAAACCTCTTTTCCTCAACAGATAAAGTGAGCAAGTAATTTTTGTGTCATGTATATGTAAGTTAAGGTTTATGGTACGTCTATATCACCATATCACAAATAGAGAAGAAAAAATAATAATAATTTGATAATTTAGAGTTTCTTTTAAAAAAAAAAAAAGAGTTGGGCGTCTAAAAAAAGCAAATTGTCGAGGGATATGTGTGAACAAGACGAAATGGAAAAGAGAAGAGAAAAAAAATTTTTTCCTTTCAAGTGTTTTTTCCGTGATGGATTTTCCTTGGATTCTTTTGGGGTCGTTTCCTTCTTTTTTTTTTTTTTTTTTGATTTTTTTTTTTTTTTTTGCGAGAGAGAAGAATTGAAGATTTTAAAAGGGGAAATCTAATGAATTTTTATTATAGAAACTGTGACATCAAAAAAATCGGACTTGGTAAACCAGGGGAGCACAAAAAACAATATTCAACTACTTACGTATGTAAATGTAATCAGCAGTGTCAGCAATAGATAAAAATATAGTACTCAATTTATGTGGAGACGATACTGAACATGGAATATTGTGCACACGTACAGATGAAAATCCAGAGGTAAAGGAGGAGAAAATGTGAATGCCGGGTACCTTTAATGGCGGATACCGAAAAAGGTTAACCGAGTTCTCAGTATGACGGCGGAGAACAACCGTTAACACCGTACCGGAAAAAAAAAAAAAAAAGAAAAGAAAAAAGGGGAGTGGTGGTGGTATCAGCGACTTGAACTTTTGGGGGTTGCGAACTAGTCGGATTTCGTAAGGAGCGAGAGAATAATCCATCCGTTGACCGAATCCGTCAACCGAACTCTGCCGTTATGTAATAATCGCAACGTGCTCTACAAGATAATCAGTCGATGAATTTAATTGTAATCGGCAGCAGTACGTCAGCAACAAAAATGTTAACGTTTAAAGTCATCTTTTTTTCATCGCACTGCAGTTGATCCTCTTCAAATGAATGTACAGCGTGTTCACCCGAGATAAAGTAGTGTCATCGGGATGGCAAATGGTCACGGAGAAAGAACCGGTCATACCGCAGAATTAATGTATCATTTGATGATTGAATGAGGTACGCAATTGGTAAAATGGAAGGGGAAAAAAATGGTCACTTGATCCGTCATTATGATACAATGTGACATGAAAAATTTGAGGGTAGCAAAAGTCGTGCGAGCATGCGTCCATGCGTCCGTTTGTGCACGATGACGTTTTTTCTTCAAGCGTAAAGTGGGTTAAGCGGAGACGAAGTTGCCAAAGAAAAAATTTTTTTGCATGACCGTTCCTTCATTGGTCAGGGCTGAATGTGTATGAGTGATAAGATCGAATAAGATAACCGATAAGGTACTGATTCACACTAATTTACCGTATGATACGCGAATATATGACGATAATAAATATAGAAAACATGAATGGAAGGATGGTAATCCGGGTATCAGTAAGCAAATATTTATGTGCGCGTTTGACAGGGCGTCAAATGAGCGACCAAAAAGTTGATGATCGTCAGAACTGGAATGTGTTCGCGTTGATGCATGCACCAATTTGGAAGTTGGAGAAACTCGTGTACCAACTTACGCTCGTACATGTTGTGCGCATGTCTGTGACAAGGTGAAGGAACATAATGTGCGTGTGTGTGTGTGTGTGTGTGTGTGAATAAACAATTCGTCGTCGTCGTGATTGCTTGTTGTGAGAAACAAAATAGACGCGCACGCACATACCATCTCGTCCGATGTTTCTCGTCCGCCGTTACGTTACGTTTGTACGTAAATGCGCACTTATGTTACCCTGCGTGCGTGACGATTATTGGGGGACAAAGTGCCAATAATAATAATACAAGCAAATAAATCATTGTTTGCTATGGGAATGAGCGGTTTCTGTGGAATCATATGTGCAATTGTCGATGACGTATTTTAAGAAAATGAAAATAAATGCGTTGTTTATCCATTGCGTGACAACAAGAAAATATTGCGGTCTATATACAGTATATACAGTATAAATATATACATATACAAATGGTAAGCGGACGATTGGATGCACGCATGACTCCTTTTGTTTTTGACGGGAGAGAGAAGGGAGAAGGAGCGGCGCAGTTCCACTTATCCAAAATAAAATTTTAGTGTGGTGCATCTGAGAGTCGTGACGAAACGTCATGATATACCTAATAAGGATAAAAATGACAAAGTTACCGGGTAAATTAGTATTACGTTAGAATTGCCCGATGCATAGTAATTGTGCGGAGACAAGGGTCTTCCAAGGGTAATGAAGGGTGTATGAGCAACACACAATAGGACGATCTGAAGCTATGTGTATGGGATTGTCACTCCGATTTGTCCTGATAAAATGGATAAATATTAATCCCAAAAGGTGAAGTTCACTTTTGATATAATAGACGCACCGTGGCTCCTCCCCGGTACTCACATATGAAGAACTATTCTGATGATACACTGGTAGCCTGGTATTAGTTGCATTAAATACAATCGAACGGACTATTTACGGTTACTACCTGCGCACCCTTTTAGTCTGCATGCTGCAATAACCCCTTGCTTATTTGTGCGCTATGATGCAGTTTGCCATTTTTAACCTTCCCTTCTCTCCACACAGTGCGTACTCGCGTACTCACTGTACCTGGTACCCCTTACGTGCTTACCATCACTCACGAAAGAAAGAAAGGCATGGCACGCACAAGAATTTGTGTCCTTCATCCACCGACTTTCCATCACACGTTCTCGTTATAGAAAATAACGCACTTATTTTTTTATTACATAAGCAAAAAACTTAAAAACTTTTAATTGTCCGGAGTGTAGACTGGAACATCATAAACACACTGTTGGGATGTAACCAATACGCATTGTGTAATAGAATTGGATTTTTTTTTTTTATTAATTAATTAATATAAGGTTGATCGTATTTTTTCGGTGTACAGTATATATTCATTACATGCTATTATGATTTTTGTTTTACAAAATCTTTTATTTAAAATTGTCTAATGGAATTCAAATTTTGTAATATCAAATTATTTAAAAATCTTACTACTATTATATTAGTAGTTTAAAAATTTTTTTTTAAAAATTACCTCAAAATTAAGTTAACATTAAACAGAAATAATACAAATATTGTAATAAAATTATTTGAAAAGGATTATATATTTATTTTAAAATACAAATATGAAACTTTATTACAATTATCTTATATTATATATACTGTATATACAGTTAATAATAACCTATCATAGATTCTTTATAAAGGCTCAATACCATTATATAAAAAATTTTCATGATGGTTAAATGATCAATACTTAAATAATTAATATAAAACTTTATTTTTTTTTAATTCTTTATTAAACTAAATATCATTAATAAAAAAATTTTTTTGACATATTATCACTCATATAATATTTGACAAAAAATAAACAATCCATCAAATTAATAGTATAAATAAAAATCAGTAACTTCATAATTTAATAACAAATATTACAAAAAATTAACATATTTATAATTTATTAATAATTTATTAAAAATTTTATTAACTATTTAACAAAAAATTTTTTACCAATTCATTAAAAATTTATCAATAATATATTAATAGTTTATTTTAAATTTATCAATAATTTTTCAATTATTTATCAAATGATTATCAAAATTTTTATTAAAAATTTATTAATAATTTATTAATTATTTATTGATAATTTGTCAATTATTTATTAAATTATTTAGCAAAAATTTAGCAATATAAAATTATAAAATAAAAAAATTAATAAAATTATATTACAAATTGTTTTAAATTAAGATTATATTTATAAATTATAAATAATACAAACTATAATATATTTTTTTACACACTCTTTCCACTGATTCTCTGACCACATACAAAAAAGATATTTGCAAGAAGTTTTTATACTTCTAAGCTAATATAGTCTTATCACTTTCCTTAAACCAACTTAAAGAAACTTCAAGAGCCATCAACTATCCCTCTTCCCTTGCTTACTTTCCTCTTCAAACAAAAACTTGACCTCTAATGACCATAAAAGGTCAAGAAACACCTTTCCTACTCATAGCAAAAAAGTTTCAAAAGAAAAAAAAACCAATAGTGCCATCACCCTACAGTATAAAGAAACA